CGCTGGCCCCGCTGGCCCCGCTGGCCCCCGCCGGCCGTCCGCCCTCCGCCAGTGAGTCCGGCCGGCCGCTCGGTGGCATCTCTGTGGCCCTCTGTCCGCTGGGGTCCGTGTGTCCTCTCCGAGTCTGTGTGTCCGTCTCTTGGCCTCTCTCTCTGTGTCCCTCCCCCGCCACCCCTGCTGGAAGTGAGGCCCCCCGCCCCTCCCATGCCCTGACGGAGGCCAGCACCCGCCCCCAGCACACACACACGCGCGCACACACACACCCACGCGCACACGCGCGGGCGCGCACTCCACTTACCTGTACAGTCCCCTAAGCCTGAGGTGCTGGCCCCAGACACGTCCTGCTCAAAGGTGCCTCTGACGGGGAGGTGGGGGGCGAGAGGGGCAGTCAGCAGAAACCTCTCTCAGAGCCTGATGGTCAGAGGGGGGGGGCAGACCCCCTCCCCCACCCCCTGTCCCCCAGTACCTGGTGCCTGGGCTGAGGAAGACACAGGAACCATCAGGGGCCCACCCACAGTAGGGGTCCTGACTGCCAATACAGTTCCTAGAGCAGACGGTGACCCATCAACCACAGTCCCTTACGAGGCACCTTTCAGTGTCAATTCCAGGGGTGCTTGTGACAAATCGGCGGCTACTATCCCCCTCGCCCCCCCTTAGAGATGAGGCTCGGGACAGCGGGCTCAGGAAAGGGTTTCGCCGCGTCGAGGGGCTCACGCTGAGACTAGGGGGGGTCTCAGCCTGCACACCTGCTCCTGCCACCCACTTTAAAGGCGGGGAGACAGCTGCCTCCCCGGTCCCCAGCTTCTTCCGCACCTGCTGCTCTTAAAGATGTCAGCCAGGTCTCACGCCTTCCTCTACCCACAACCCTCCAGGGCTCCCCCCTCGGTAAAGCCCAGGTCTTCCCTGCCCTCCCTGCTTCCCTCTCTTCCCCTCGCTCACTCTTGCTCCAGTCAATCTGGCCTCCTTGCTGTTCTTCCAACGTACCAGGCCCGATCCTGCCCCAGGGCCTTTGCACGGGCGGTGTCCCCTGCCTGGCTCATTCTTCAATAAGCCAGGAGGCTGCCGGGCCCCGGACTTGAATTGGACTTTCCCCACTTCCTGTGCTCATTGTCCCTTGCTTCCCCCCACCCCGGGTCACCTCCGCAGCCCGCCCCAGAGGGCACTCACTTCATGCACCCTGAGTACTGCTGGCAGCGGGCCACGGGCACGCGGACCACGCAGCGGGGGAAGGCTGCCAGCAGGCCACCCGAGGCTGTGTCCAGCTCCAGACTCAACAGCCGCCGCCCCGCCTCACCGCTGCTGAACCGTCCACACCTAGGGGTGAGCGGATTGGTAAGAGTCAAGGGCGCGCCCCGCCGCCCCGCCCGCCGGGCCGCCTCTGTGCACTCCACCTGTCCGGCCGGTAGGTCTCGAACTCCTCTAGGAAGACACTGGGCCCAGCGGTGCCCGAGGCGCTGGCGTTGGGCCAGATGAGGAACTTGAGGACGGTGCCCACCTCGGAACCCAGGAAGACGACGGTGTGGTTGCCCCAGGGGCCGGCGCCCACGTCCACAGCCACTCGTGTCAGCTGGTGCCTGGGGCCAGGGCGGGCAGGGGTCAGGCGTGACGAGACCGCACCCGGGCCAGGCAAGGCAGACGCGCGGGGGGCGGTGACGCGGGTGTGTATCCGGGACAGACAGACCACCAGGCCGGGCTCCGGTCTGGGCCTGCCCCCGCCGCCCCCGCCACGCATGGGGACTGACCGCATTAGAGTCCGCACGATCCAGGGCGCGTGGCCCAGAGAGGGCACCGCTTCGTCCATCAGGGGGTGGGTCTTGACAAAGTTGAGGATCTCATCGGGGAAGGCGCTAGAGGCATTGTACTGCATGCCGGGAGCCGCGCAGCACCCAGGTCTAGGTGGGGAGGAAGCGGTGGACTTGAACATCCCCACCCAGGGGCTCTGATTTGCCAGGGGGACCTGCCGCCCTGCCCAAACGGCCTCAGCTTTCTGCATCTGTATAATGGGTACAGCTGAACTCAGCCACAGATGACCACCTGGAAGTCCCAGCCCTCGGTCCCCGGGGTCAGGACCCCCACCCGGGCACCCGTTTCGGGATCCGGGGGGGGGGCGCCTCTTACCGGGGCCGTGGCACCTGGTCCTCCGGCACGGGGGTCCAGATGGACTCGGGGGACTTCTGCTCACGGAAGCGGCCTTCAAACACGGCAGCCACCTGCGTCATGTCGAAGGCGCAGACAGCCGAGCCGGGGATGCTGGGGGAGTTAGGTGAAAGGGAGCGGTGAGCCCGACGGAGGGCAGGGCCTTGGACGCGTGTGGGAGAGAGTCTTTGTCCCTGTGAGGCTGTCGGATGTCCAGCCCCCTGGGCCGGAGATGCCCCCACCCAACCCGGTCGCTCTGCTTCCTGAACAGGGCTCCTCTGTGGCCTTGTCTCTCTTTTGCTCCTCACTCTCCCATGGCTCCCTAGAGCTCTCAGGATATAGTCCACTCTTCTCCCAGTGGCTCGTCACCCCTCTGCCCTCGTGTCCTCTACCGTCGCCCTCCCTTGCTCCTCTCCAGCCACGGGGGCTTCCTTTCTATTGGTGAAACCTACCAAACTCACTGCTGCCTCGGGGCCTTTGCACATGTTATTCCTCCAACTCGGAATGGACCCGGGAAATACATGACGAATGCGGGACCCCTCCGCGCACGTCCACCCAGTGCCCCAGTTTGCTCCCATCGGGGCCCTCTGACCTGTTGCTGGGGGTGGAGAAGACAGCAAGGACCACCGGCCGGCCCCCCAGGCTGACCACGCCCGTGACAGCCTGCAGCACGTTGAAGTAGAAATGGGAGTCGCCAGGCACGGAGCAGTTGAGCCGCGCCTTCAGGAAGGACGTCCACTGCTTCTCCAGCACCCGGGGGGAGCCCCCCACGTCATTCTTGCACACCCGGGCCACTCGGGACACCACCACCTGGGGCAACAGCAGACAGA